GACGTTAGGTGGCATGACCCACTTTTGTCGTTTTCGTATTTTAGATTCCAAGTTGATAACCTTGAGAATCTCTATCTTGTTGCTTTGGATAGCATGCTTTTATGTGGTTTGAATTGCATAGATGATGTGATTTATGTTAGAAATGATCTAGGGTAGCTTAAGATGCTCTCTAAATCTCGCCCTTGACATAGACGTTAGGTGGCATGAGCCCTTTGACATGTTTCACCTTAAGGTAATAAAATTGTAAAATGCTAGGTCGATGCATGCTCATTTCCTACGAGTAGCTTTATGTTACTCACCCCAAAGTTACTGGGGCATATTTCAGGTACAGGAATCAAGGTTGAGGTACTCATTATGCTTGGATGATTTAAGGACTTGAAGGGTTCAATTCTTGTGAAGGTTGGCTTGAAAAGCCATTTGTAACCTTAAATGTCAAATGTGTATATTTAGTTCTAAACTTGTAATGTGTGCCTAAGCACACTTTTTGATTCTCATTTTATGTATATGACATGAGGCAAATGGCCAAAATTCTTTCGGAATTACATTTATGCCATGGATGTCAAATCTTGCGTTTAATGAGAATATATGAAAAATCATACGTTTTAGTATGCTATTTTGCACCAAATCGTGCATTGTGTGTGAAATTCATCCATTAGCATTCATTTATCATGTATGAAGTGTGGTCAAGGGCCAAACGACATTTCAAAACCATTTCATAATTTTGAGTTCCAAGTTTTCATTTCAAGCTTCATTTTTGTCATTTTGGCCATTAGGGGGGGTCGTATTTTGCATCGACGGTATTTTTAAACCGTGGATCATTGTAGCGCGTCCTAATAGGTAAGTTACGTCTGCGTGCATGGTTGTTTTTGGGAAAAACTCTTTCGTTGGCGAAATGAGCCTCTTATGAATTCATTTCACACTTTTGTTGAAAAATCTTGCTTAAGGGCATTTTGGGGATTTTCTTTGGGAAATAAATTCCGTTCTTGACTCCGTCACATAGAAAATGTGATTTTAGGGGGAGTTTCTTCACGACATTTTTTCAAAAAATGTCATCTTGATCTCGAAAACTGCACTCCAAACTCATTTTTCTGCCAAAACACTGTTTCTGCTGTTTAAGTTCAACTCCGGTCAAGTTGAACCGGTTCAAGAATAGTTGAACCAGTTCAAGATGTGTCTTTTGGTCCAGCATGGGCATACTGCCCATATTGAACCAGTTCAAGGAGGCTAAACCGGTTCAAGTCTTGCAGTTACTGTTGCACGTTCAGCTTTGACCTTCCAACTTTGAATTGTTGTAACTTCTTCGTTTTAACTCCAAATTGGTCCGTTCTTAAGTCTAAATTAACCGTGTCAAAATAAGCTTTCTAATGGTACTAATTTCAATTTTAGATTCTTTTCCTAGCTCATGATATCCTTGTTTTAGTGAGAGGGTGTCGGATTTGGTTCGAACCGGGATAGGGTTCTTCTGGGATTTCATTTCCTTTAGCCTTGAGACTTCATGTGAAGTTACCAAATGATGTTTTTGGATTTTTTTGATTTCATTGGACTTGTTGGGATTCAAATTCCTTCCTCTTAGGGTAAAATGACCATTTTACCCTTGGTCCTTCTTTTAGTAAGGTTTTGATACCCTTGTCTTCATTTTGCTTCCACTGAGTCTTGAAATTCCTTGAATGGCCATTCTTGTGTCTTAGGGATGATGTACATCTCTGAGAACTTGGTTTCATTTTACTTCCGCATTTTGGATCCGCTTCGGGTTATCACAGGACACACTGGGTTGAAAAATCCAAGGTCATTACAATATTAATATTAGACGATGAATGTTAAATCTTATTCGAATACTATATATAAATATTTTGGTGTTTCATGTGTGGCTTTGCAATTTAATTATGGAATTGTGATTTAAATAAAATTTGGGAAGATAGTATGATCGTAATGACGACTAATATCTAAAATTTTATAAATGTTGCCCTAAGGAAAGCAACTTTAAAAAAAAACATATGATGTAAGTATGTTGACAAATACACTATCTAGTGTGACTTGTTTAGACACCCTATGAAATAAATATATTTTTGGAATGACATTACAAACAAAATGTAACATGTTTCAAATGCAAATTATATTCGACATCCTAACTTATATATAATATGTATCACATGTTACTTTTTCGTGAATATGAATCAAGTGTGAAATTAAACAAATATATTTTAGAATGGTAATACAACTTTAATGTACCATGTTTCGAAGGTAAATTATGTGTGATATCCCAACTTACTCGTACAACTTTGACATCATATGTTTCAAATATGCATTATATATGATATCCCAACCTACTCGTAAAATGTATCACATATTAATTTTATGTAACTTATTTTAAATACGTAATATGAATCAAGTATGGAATCAAATAAACATTGTTTTAGGACATTACAATTTAAATGTAACATGTTTGAAACGAGAATTATATGCGACATCCCAACTTACTCTGAACATGTATCATTTGTTATTTTTATATGACTTATATCAAATACTTAGCATAAATCAAATATAATATTAAACAAACATATCTTCATAACGACATCACAACTTAAAAATATCATGTTCCAAATATCAATTATATGATATATTCTAACTAAATTATAACATGTATCATTTCTGAACTTTATAATATAACAATAAAAAATAAAAATAAAAAAGTCTAAACTCTTCCTTTTAAAGGTAGTTGAGAGTGCATTAATGTAAAAAGAGCCGTTAGATTGAAATAAGTTGTGATTTATGTTAAAAATGTGTTCTTAGACTATATAAAATTTAGTTGTGATGCTAGTTATGAAATCGTTATGATGTTAGTAATAATACGTGCTTAGTTTTCCTTTGACTTTGATTAAATTTACAAATCTCGTGTACATTGAATGAAATTAGTTGTGATATTTGTTACAAATATGTTTCTACACTATAAAAAATTTAGTTGTGATATTAGTTATAAAATCGTTATAACACTATTCTAAACACGTACTTGGTTTCCCTTTGACTTTGGTTCATTTTATTAATTTCAAATATATATTTAATGAAATAATTTGTGATATTTGTTATAAATGTGTTTCTACAGTAACTGATTTTTTTTTATTTTTTTATTTAGTGATTGTACTTTTAAATCGTTATAATCTTATTATAAACACATGCTTAGTTTTTTCTTGACTTTGGTTAATTTTACACTTCTCATATATATTGAATGAAATAAGTAACATGAATTAAATGTAAAATATTTGTGACATTCTTTCTTTTCACTTCGCTTACGGGATTTCACTTTTATATCATTTCAATCATTTTTAAACATAACATATTTAAAACAACCTACCGGTGAACCCACTAACTACAATCGACGTTACTTGATCATGAACAATCTACAATCAATTAGCCGACCAGTGAGCCCACTAACTACAATCGACATTACTTGATCAAGAACAATCTACAATCAATTAGCCGACCAGTGAACCCACTAACTAATTATATAAACCAATTTAATAAAGCAAACATAATTAAAAGTAAATAAATTATGTTACACCATTATTGGATCAAGAATAATTTACAATCAATTAAAAAACACAGAACCCACTAATTTTGTAGACCATTTTGAAAAATCATGCATCATCACAATCTCAAACCCTCAAATAAATCACCAAAATTATCACCAACAATAAGTAATAAGACCAATTTTAAAAAATATTAAAATTTGAGAAAAGATACAATCTTTGATTTGAGATACAGAAGGTAATGAATGCATACTAAAGAGTATCAGGAGGTCCAATATTTGTGACGCTCCATTCAAACCAAACACGTTGCTCTCGTCAATCAAACCAACAGAGAAGCCATCAACATGGTTCTTACAAATATTTGCAAAACAAAGAATCAATCAATTAATCAAAGAAACATGATTTAATTACATAAAATAGCAGGGGAAATTAAAAAAAAAAAAAAAAATTATGAGTTTGGATTGTAGGAAAATGCAATCCAAAAGAAGACCATGGCGTTTCAATTAGTTCGCTTCTTCGTCAATGGAGAAACAAAAACCACTGTCCTCCATGGCGTTTACGAAATTGGAAAGACCAAAACAATGACATGAGTCACGGATTTGATTTTTGACCCAGAACAACAAAAGACGCAACAATTTTCCATTCTCCCATAAATATTCATCCACACGAGACTATCCCCAAAATTATGCTATTCTCTTCGATCTAGGGTTTATGGTGGTTACTCTATAGTTTGGATGAAATAAGAAGATACAACAAGAACCAGAGCAAAAGGAAACCAAAGAGAAATGATTTCACCTTTCCATAAGAACCAGAACAAAATATACCAGATTCGAGGGAAGAAGAAGAAAGCACAACAACCAGAGCAAAAATGACGTCAAAGAGAAGATGAAGAATTTAATATAATTTGTAATTTTTCTGAAAAGATAAAAGTGAAGTATATTGAAATAAAATAATATTGTATATGATATATTGTATAACGTATAACATATAACGTATAAATGTATGTTGTATGATGTATTAGTACATGTGGTAAAAAAAAAAGTACATTAGTCACTTTGTCGACTAAGTTGCTGACCGGGTGCTGACTAGAAAGGTGATGTGGCAAATGGGCTGAGGTAGTTTCATCTCAGCCCTTTAATCCTCATTGGACTTTATCCAGTGAGAGGTGCACTGGAGCTGATTCTTTTCCATTATCAAGAAAGACTATGTCTATGTTTAAATCTCATTTCAAATTAAAAATCGCCTTTTTCTTTTCTTTTCTTTTTTTTTACTGAAAATGATTTTTTCACTCTCAATTAATTAATTTACCTCACCCTTTAATAAAGCTGCTTTTTCTCCCCCGTTGACACCATTGCTGATAATAATATAGCAAACCATCATATACTGCAATGAATTAAATAAATTTCAGACAATTTTTTTTATTTATAATAAAACCCATCTGCTCTTGTAATCCATTGACAAGGTTGAAAGTTTGAGTTTCATTAGAGACAAATATTCTTCTGGATTAAGAATAATTGAAAGAAATACTTTCAATATAAATTGTACCATTAGACATACAATATTATACAAATCATGAAAAGATAATTCTTGCTAAGCATTTGAATGATCATTCAATAATTTGTGCTACTTCCTCTGCTTACAGAGTTGAATAAATTCATCTGCAACCCCATCCATCTCTTCCTCTCCATTCAGTCTTATATGCTCACTCATTTCTCTTGCTTTACTCCTTATATTTTCTCCATTTTTCTCCACCACCACTTTTCTAATGACCTTTGCTATCTCTTCCCTTTCAACCCTTTCATCATTCTCTCTTTTGACCTCCACACCCACACCAATCTCCTCCACAACTCTAGCATTAAATGGCTGGTCAATATTCATAGGCATAGCTATGATTGGAACACCAAACATCATGCTCTCCATAATAGAACTCAATCCACAGTGACTCACAAACCCTCCAGTGCTTGGATGGCTTAGAATCTTTGCCTGTGGAGCCCACCCCTCAACAACCATTCCTCTCTCTCCTACCCTCTCAAGATACCCCTCAGGCAGTGCCTCTTCAAGCCTAATTTTCTCTCCCATGGGAAACCTAACAGCCCATATGAAATTCACCTTGCTAAGCTCTAATCCATGAGCCAACTCTTCCATGTCCTCCTTAGACAGAAAGAACTCACTCCCAAAACAAACAAAAACTGTAGAAGACTCATCCTTCTTGTTAAGCCACTGCATGATCTCTGTACACTCATCTTCAATATTGACAGGATCCTGAATAAGTCGACCTAAAGACACCATCTTTTTGTTGGCCAAAGCTGAAAAATAATCCATATATTTCCTCTCCGTGTCTGTAGATATAGTCTTGATCAACACGACGTTACAAGACTGCTCGAGGGCTTGGAGGAAGCGTTCTCCGTCTGTGACTCCGTTGACAGAAGCATCAATCAAGCCACGAACCATAACGCGCTCCGGCTCGTGAATATAAATGGCTGGAAATGGGAATTGGAGACTAGGATTCTTGAGTGTATGGATGATATAAGACATGAAGGCGGTTCCGAAGATTAGGAATTGAACAGATGGAATGTTGTGGAAAGAAGCTATGGATGCTGCCCACGGCTGGTTGTAGTCATAAATGAGCAAGTTTGGTTTTAGGGTTTTGAGGATCTTGGAGAAGTTGGGGGTTGACATCTCAAAGGCCTGTTTGAGGGTGGTCATGAGATGGGTTGGGAGGCCATTGGTTGTGTGGCAGTGAGGAGGAAGGTCAGGCAAGGATGGAAGGTGAAGCTCTACTAGTTGTATTGAGTGAGACTCGTTTTCAGTGAGCCTTTTCTTGATGGAATTGAGATTGACAGGTGTTGAACACAAGTATATGAAAAAGTCTCTCTTTGTGAGCCTTTTGGCTAGCTCTAGGAATGGAGATATGTGGCCATGAGCTAACCATGGCAGCATTAACACACTGATACTACTCTGTTTTTCATCCATGCTCTCTCACTAGTTCTCTGTCTCTCTCTTTCAATCTTCAAGGTGAATAAATAGTGGACATAGTCTTTCTTCTCTTCTTTTTTTATCAAAAATAAATAAATAAATAATAATAATAATAATAATAATAAAATGACTTTGTCCTTTATATAATTGTCCACTTAGCGTTGCATGTGCAATGACGACATTGATGGGACCAAAAACTAGAGGTTAGTGCTCTTTCTCTTTACAATTATTGGGACCAAGTCAAGCATATACCAATTTTCCTTGTATAATATGGATGACATTGGTAAGATATTGATTTTCTCCTAAGATCCAAGTCAAGTATATATCAATTTGTAAATATTTTACTACTAAGATAAACATTTAAATTCAAATTGTGATGAATCAGCTACCGACTTTACGACAATTACGTAAATGTTCTTCTAGAACTGTAGGCAACTTGGCAAGACTTTCTCCTCCTAGAATTTAATGGGTTTAAATTCAAATTGTGAGCCTCTTGACTGTCTATTGTACTTCTGACCATAACATGACATGTGAATACAATTACTACTATATATATCGTACTTCGTGAATACAATTACTACTATTTATCAAATTGGTCTTCAACGTGCCTCATAAAAACTAGCCTGCCATATTTGAAGTTAATAAACTCCTTTCAAAGGGTTTGGGAGGCCAAACTCGAGCTTTAAATTAACTTTATTTTTTATTAACTTTAGAATTTGTTTGGTTTGTAATTCCGAAAATAATTTATTTTTAGAGAATTATTTAAACAGGTATTTTTATAACTCAGTTTTCATAAAATAATTTTCCGAAAACTGAACCAAGTAGAATTTTTTTGTATAGTTTTTAATTTTTTAAAAACAAAAAGGTGTCTCAGAGTTACAAATCAAACAGATCTTTAGTTTCTTTTCAAAAACAAAGATACATAGACATTATAAGATTAACAAGATAAATTTGCTAATTAACATTATTTTAAATGGTAGTATGATTTTTACTTTCTAAAGAGGAAGTTGAGAATTTGAGATTGATTAGAAGCAATATTATGTGCATATACACTTTACTTTAACTTTCAAAAAGAAGAAGAAAAAAACACGCCAACGGTCAATCTCTTTTTTAGAAAAAGAACATGAAACTGGTACTTTTTTTACTTTTCATAATAAAGAATTCAATGACAAAGACTTAATAATTTTGATTTATTTTTTCTGACAATTATGTACTAACTTGGATATATTTTTATCCTCTAAGCTCTCTAAGCTTAGAAATGGATGATGAGAAATTTAGAAGGTCCAAGTCCTGCATCCATGTGCTAGAAATAGTGGTAATTAATGTATATCCATTCAGAAAAATATACAATAGCGTTAGTAGCAACAATAATAATGAATCCGTGGGCTAGCAGTGGTTTATATCCATTTAGTATTATAATAATACTATTCCTTTTGCAATAATAATAATGATAATAGTAAAGGCCATTCCCCAATTATATATGAATTCCGCGCTTTAGAGCATTTCTAATGAGCTCTCCGAATTTGTCATATTAGTATTTTTTAATAGCCTCTTCAGTATTTTTCATAGTCACGTCAGCGTTTTAGAGTCTCCAAATTTTAACTATCGCATGTACTTCAATGCTGCATTTTCGCTCTCCAAAAATTTTAATATTTTTAAAATTTTTATTAAATTTTATTTTTTAACTTTTTTTGCAATTTAAACATTAACATAATATAATTTTATTTATCATTATTAACATTACTCAAAAAATAAAAATAAAAATTCTTAGTATTAATCAATATTTGGATTGAAGAGACTTTTCAGCCCCATCTAATATATATATATGTGTGTGTAATTATATATGAGGAAAAAGAGAGAGCTCTCTGAATAGAATTGCAACTTATTCGAAAGAATTAATTTTAGATTGAGATAGAGAGAGAAAGATTAAGGTTGTAAGATTGTCTAGTGATGCATTATGTGCACTAAGCTTAATGGGTATATAGATATACGGGGTGTGTATATCAAATCACTTGTAGAGAAATTATTTGAAGAAATTTTTACAGTAAGATTAGACTATGATACAAAGAATGTATATATACATTATACATAGAGGAGCCAGAAATTTAGTTTGGGGATACTAGCATATGATAAAATAAATTTTTAGTTAAAAAATAATAATAATAAATAAATAACCCAAAAATTTGTTTTTTAGCTTTCTTTTCCAGCCAAACATGGCCTTAGAAACAGCGGTATGGGCAAAACACTGTTCTGGGCCAGAATTTAAAAAAAATAAAAAAAGAATTTAAAAAAAATAAAAATAAAACAAAGGTGGGCCCACATGGCAGGCCCGCAATCACTAATAGGGTTGCCGTTTTCGGTGACCCATTCCCTGAGTGACACAATTTTAGCAACCCATAATGGAGAAGTTGGGTCTCTAAAATCAACCCAAAATCACCTTAAAAGGCTACGTTGGAGCTGCTCTTAACCATTCAGCCATGGTTGCTTAGTTGCTTAGGGGATCTTATACATTGTGAATAATCACATTCCAATTAAAATTGTAACAACTCTCACTTTAGTCAGGCACAATATTATTTGTTTTTGACTTCCTCATATTAAAGACTTCGATTGTTACAAAAATCAAATCCAATACTCTTCCAAGAGAAATATTAGTAATGTGTTAGGAGAAATTGGTACAAGAAGCCGTGGCTGGTTCCTTACTCATTGAATCTAAAAAGAATACATAAGTATAATCGGAATCCACTTGAAATTTAGAATGAAGAAATAATAAAATAAATGAATCTTGTTTACTTCACTGATTCATGGGAAGATACTAAACTTTTGTATTTGAAAAATGTTACAGGAAGGATTTCTGAAGTAGATGACGATTGGTCATTCGGAGGTCTCTTTTGGTAGCTTTAAAAGTAATTTGTTTTAATAATAATAAAAAAAAAAACATAAAAAAGAAATAAATTTTGTCTTCTATCCGCATATCCTTTATCTTATCCCTATTGTAATTTTTCAATTGTTCCAAAGTCAATTCATTTTTTCGCTCCATCTCAGAGTATCCATTCACTTGAAACTGATTTGCTTCCATTTCCCAAAGAGCAACTCTTCTTAAAATCTTACTCAAAAGGTGTTGAGTTGGAATCCCATTCTAACTAAGGATTCTTATGGTTCTGGAAGATCCAGCTACAGGTGATCTTGTTAATAGATGATACAGGAAAGGTTTTTTTTTCTAGGTAAGTAATTAAATTTATAAAAGAAATCAACATTTTTATACAAAAATATAAGGGCATACCCTAGACCCAAAGCTAATTAGGCACGATACTGTTGTGGCTTTGTGGAGTCTGGTCGCGTGTTGATTACGTAAAGGATTTAGGAGGTTCAAGCCTATTGATTGGGTTTTTACGTTGGCTATGGGCATGTTTGAACCTGTTCAGGGGGCTTTGAACCGGTTTTACTCGAGGTGCAAATTTAACTTTGGTAACTGCCAAAGTTGCACCGGTTTAGGGACCTCTGAATCGGTTCAAGTGCGGCGTCGACTTTGGCTACTGCAAACGTTGAACCAATTCAGATGCCCTTGAACTAGTTCAAGTTGGCTAGTGAATTGCACCACGTAAGACAACAAAGTTGAATCGGTTTAACTCTTCTGGAAGCTGCGGAAATTGATTTCCTTACTGGTTTTGGAGTCTACAAAAGGAAAGTTCTTGTAAGAGGAGTTGTGTTCCATTGTTTGGGACTATATATATCAACCTTAATTAGATTTTAGGGTATGACTTTATGAGAGGATTATCATATATATGTATGTATGATTGATTAATTTGTGCCAACACAAGAAAGAGTAATTAAGAGAGATTGAGATAAAATTCTCCATTGTATTCTTTATCTTTTTTATAGTGGAATTTGTTCGTTGAGCTCCATGAACGTATCCCTAAGATTTGGATGAACCATGTATAACTTGTGTTCTTGTGTGCAATTATTTTTATTCTTCGTGATTGCTTGTGATTATTCTTTGAACGGCGTTGTTTTTGCATTTCTGCCACAATAATTGGTATTAGAGCATCCGGTTAATTATGCAGCAGCTCCAATAACTGGTATCAGATCCTTTGGTTGAGAACTTAGGGCACAAAAGGTGTTAAACGAAATTTTGAAAGACTTTCCATATTTGACTTATCCGTTCGAGTGGGAGTAATGGTATCAGAAGATAAGACATCTATATCCATGATTGAGAAATTCGATGGCACAAACTTCAATTTTTGAAAGATGCAAATTGAAGACCTCTTGTTTCTGAAAAATCTGTATTACCCTTTAGTGGAGAAGCCAAAGGATACAAAGGATGCATAATAGGAATTATTTGATAGGAAGGCTATTGGCACCATCAAATTGATGTTGTCAAAATCTGTCGCCTTCAACATTAAAAACGAAAAGACGACGAAGTCTCTCATTGCAGCCCTTTCTAGTATGTATGAACAGCTGTCTGCAGCGAACAAGGTGCACTTGATCAAGAAATTATTCAACATAAAGAAGGTCAAAGGTGGTAGATTCAACGAACATTTAAACGCGTTCAATAATTATAGGCCAATTAGAGTCTGCTAATATCGACTTCAAAAATGAGGTCTGAGCACTGTTAATTCTAGGGCAGTTACTCGAGAGTTAGAGTATGTGGCACAGTTACAACAGTTAGTAGCTCTGTAGGGAAAACCAAGTTGAAGTTTGATGAAGTTGTGAGCATGATTCTGACTGAAGAAATCAGAAGGCGAACAACAGGGGTTTCCACTAGTGGTTCGGCATTGAATGTTGAAAGTAGAGGCAAGGGTTCAAACAAGAAGATAGGTAATTGTAATGGAAACATAGGCAGATCTAAGTCAAGGAATGATATGGAACTATCTCAAAATTCTATAAATCTTAGTGACATTGAGTGTTAGAATTATAGCAAGAAAGGACGTTATCATGTTGATTACAAACTTTTGAAGAAGGGAACTGAAAGAAAAGCTAAAGCAAATGTTGTCTCAGAAAAATCAGATGATGCATTGATATGCTCTTTGGAGAGCAAGAGGAAGTTATTAGTTTTAGAT